GAGGGCTCTTCCTGTTATGTCTGTTATTGGAGCCAGCTCCCTGGTTCTGAGAGGACATAACCCTGGACCATGGCCACTGCCATGGTTAGCCACCCCTGGCTGCTAAAATGGCTTAGGTCTGGGTATACAATTTCCACCTGTGTACAGTTTCCACTGGGTGTGTGATGTACTTAACCTGTAGGTTTAGTTTAATCTTGTTCACCTGTACCATTCTAGCTTCTACTCCTTTTACCCCCTTAGGAAGCTTCCATTCAGACTCTAGCATTCCAGAGCAGATGAGCAGAGAACTTCAGGTCAGTCCTTTCTCTAGAAATTCTGCCTTGACATACGTCATGCCACATGCTCTTCTGAGTGACCTGGACAGGCCCCACTGTCTTCTTTCCCTTTTCTTCCTAAATGTTTTAGTCTTTCATGATAAACCCAGTTTGTATGCTGGTCTAAATCACACAAACTCCGGAGCCTCTCCTGTGACATAAAGACCACACCCCATGGGGCCCAGCCAGACCACTAAAGCCCCCATAGCAACCTCACTGTCCCTACAGAGATAAGTTCTTTCTCAGTTCTGCTGTGAACACAGTCCTATCCTCGTCTGCGTGCCAGAACATGGGTCTCTCCATCCCCCACATTAAAGTTGGACCTGGGGAGGTGTTACCTATCTCTTCAACCTTGCTTTCTCACTACCAATTCTTCCCATCTGTGGTGGCTTGACTAGGAACGGGCCCCACAGACTCATGTGTGTGAATGCGTGGCCCATAGCAGTGCGTGGCCCATAGCAGTGGCACTGTTAGGAGGAATGACCTTGTTGGAGGAAGTTTGTCACTGTAGGGGTGGGCTTTGAGGTCTTATAAACGCAAGTCTGGCCAGTGTGGTACTGTTCCTCCTTCTGCTGCCTGTGGATCAACATGTAGGACTCAGCTGGGCGGTGGTGGCACACACCTTTAATCCCAGCACTCGGGAGCCAGAGGCAGGCAGACATCTGTGAGTTTGAGGTCAGCCAGGTCTACAGAGAACCCTGTCTTGAACCCCACCCCCCAAAAAAACAATGTAGGGCTCTCAGCTCCTCAGGCACCACACCTGTCTTCATGTCACCGTGTTCTGCCGTGATGATAGTGGACCAAATCTCTGAGCTGTAAGCCACCCCAGTTAAATGTTTTCCTTTATAAGAATTGCTGTGGTCGTGGTGTCTCTTCACAACACTAGAAACCCTAAGACACCATCTTTGGATGTTCCCCACTTAAAACTTTGCCACTGCCCTGCATTCTTGCAGGACAATTTTTCTCTCATCCTTTCTTAGTGATACCTGCTTGCCCAGCACCTTCGCTGGATGGAGATATCCTTAGCCGCTTCCCCAAAGCTTTGTTCCACTTCTTCAAGCCCCTTTTAACCCTGCCCATCTCCAAGATTCTATTTTACAGGTTCACTCCTCCTGCCAGTGTGTGCCAAGGCCAACACACAAGGAGCTCTCCACATATACCAACTTTGTGGACACCAACCGGGCAAAGATTGACAGATTAATTTCACCCATATGCCTACTCATAAAAAGCTTCGTTATCTCTTAACACTTGTGGACACTTTTACAGGATGGATAGAAGCATTTCCGGTCTCCAGGGAAATAGCAGATGTGGTGGCTCAGGGTCATGGAGCTGGTGTCAGAAGCTCTCAACATCTCCTGGACAATGGGACTCATCAAACAACAACTAACCAAGCTCTCCATTGAACTCAGGCCTCTCAAACCTCGATGGACAGGACCTCACACAGTAATCCTCACCCCCTCCTCGGCTGCCAAGCTCTTGGGACACCCATGCTGGTACCGTTCATGGGATGCCTTTCCAACCACACCTCTTGCTGAACGTGGACACAGAGCTCTTCCCTTCCCCATGTCACCCCATGCCTGCAGGAAGTAGCCGGATTTGAGTCTATGCCCTTTTTTTCCAAAGAGAGCCTAAGTGTATAATTACCACTTCAATTTTCTGTCACCCCTATAGCCAAAGAGTCTGGAATGTCAAGTTGGGAACTTAGGCCCCAGCCCCTCGCATCTATCCCAGCCCCCAGGCCTGGTCTGGATTCCAAATCCCAGTAGGCCAGGTCCTGGGTGGGGTCAGGACCACTCCCCAGGGTATTTAAGTAATCTTCGGAAAGAGGAACACACGTGGTCCCTTTTCTTTCCTCCCTGTGGGCCCTTTTGCTCGGCTTCCCGGTTCCCCCTCAGGGCCACCAGAGAGTGCAGAACTCCCATTAAACCTGGATATTTCTTAATTTGGCTTGTTCGATTTGGCTTGATTGGGAATTTTGCATTGGCAGGGAGCTCACCTTAGGAAGTATTCCTAACATCTTCAAGTCACCGTGTTCTGCCATGATGATAGTGAACCAAATCTCTGAACTGTAAGCCACCCCAGTTAAATGTTTTCCTTTATAAGAATTGCTGTGGTCATGGTGTCTCTTCACAACACTAGAAGACATCATGGTAAGGAAGGGCTTTTGAGTATAGATTCTAATATGTACTCTCTTTCCCTTATAGACCACCAGCTGTAAGACACAGAAAGACAATTCCTCCTCCTCCACTCGTCCTGTATCTCCTACCAAATCAGAGTGGCATGTGTAATCCTCTCCACACATCTTTCTCAAGTCCTCCCTTGTTTCCTAGGCAGACAGCGCAGCCACAGCTGCATCTCCTGTCTCCCGTGGCAGTGGCCACATAGTGCTGCCTAAGATCATAGCCCATACATGATACTTTCAGGGATGGAAACATGTTCTCTAGGCCAAGGAGGCATGTCACCCCATAACACCTAGAGAGAGACACCCTGGGGTCCCCCAAAAGGTTGTCCTGCCCTTAGACAGCTTGTGCTCCCACAGCAGGGAGCACAGGACTGCCTCTCCCCAACACACATTTGGATCTGTAGGTCCTTGTGCAGGTTCTGCTGTGCTTTCTGGCTTTTCCTGGAGAGATGCAAACAATGTCTATTCATCCCAGGCGCTGACAGACAGAAGGAGCTGATCTAGAACCCTGTTTATATTCATAAACCAATTAGTTGACAGTGGTCAAGGCTATGTACAGGAGCTTGATTGAATGATCTCTCAGGAGTAGGGTGGCTGCATCATTGAGAAGTCTGCCTCAGCATAGGCAATGAGAGCTGCACGCCAGAGCTCACTGGACAGCTTGAAGTCAGCTGCCCAAAAGAGTCTCCTCCCCATACTGACTGTTTGTTAATTCAATCTCGAGGCGTAACTTCATGAGTCTTGCAAATTTAATTTCTCTGGCTCTTGTGAGCCTCATCATCCTACTGGGATTCTTCAGTACAAAACAAAACAAGATAGAGACTTCTCACCTTGAAGAGGATAAGATGGTTCTTTTAGAGCCAAATCTGAGGCTGGGGAATACAGATTTCTGTTTACCCCAAATTCTGTATTCCGATGTGGAAGTGAGAGACTAGGAGTCAGAGTCTGCACTCCAGACAGACTCCCCCGGTAGGCAGACAGACAGGGAGAGGATAAGAAAGGCGGCAGATTTCCAAGATGGGCAGCTTCTTCCTCAGTCAGACCTAGCCACCCACCCTCAGTGAGCTCCTTAAGACAGCCTATTTAAAAGTGGAAAGCAGAAAAAGGGGATTTATGGTCATACTGGGAAGAAGGACACGGCATCCAGCCATCCCCCACCTTCCCAGTCTGTCTTCTAGGTCCTGAAGTGAGATCAAAGTTTAAACAGAGTCCAAGGTATGCACATTCAAGGTCTCGGTGTCCTGTCCACAAAGACTCGTCATTTTTTCTGGATTTCGGTGGCATCTTGTAAGGTGCTCTGACAAGTTGTTAGAGACTGTGAGAAAGAAATCACTTCCCAGAAGGCAAGGCCCTCCCGGGTTCTGGCCAGGCCCTTCTGAGATTCCTGGGGAGAGCCCCATTTCTTTGAGACCCTTTGTTCAACAGTCAGATTGGAGATACAAAGTATCTTCCAGTATCTTTGTCTCTGCCAGGCCTGTTACGGAGGAAACTTAACCCATGATGCATTGAGTAAGTTTTGAGGGGCAGCACTCTTTAGGAGGTGATGAGATCCACGAGGGCTCTGCTGTCATGAGTGGGTTAATGTTGCTGAGGAGTGGGGATGGGTTGAAGAACCAGTCTGCCTCCATCTTCGGTTTTAAAGTCATCTTATAGTAAGACAAACTAGGTTGATTCCTGTTTATGATTAAAACTCTGTTTCCCAAGGATTGGGCTATGTCTGCACCTGAAACCTTGACTATACGTGGTTCTGTACTGCTGCTCCAGGAATGGCACTCATGCCTTTGTTTCAAACAGTTGTTTATGCCTCCGCCTCATTCTACAATACAGGGCAAAATGAAAGAGAAAAGCTCCTCCTTAAAGAGACAGGGAGGGAGGGGCAAAGTCAAGCAGTCCTTAGAAATCCACTCCTAAGGTGCAAGTGCACAGTTTGCCCCCTCCCTTTCTTGTTAAGGACACACTTTTTTCCTTTCATTTTACCTTGTACTGTAGAACGAGGCAATAAGATAGCCTTCCTTTCTGGGTGAAAGCCTCTCAATTTCAGATTGCCCAACCTGCTGAACTGTCAGTAAACTTTTCGTTTGTTTTCAAAAATAAACTCTTGAGTCTCAAGGCTTCTGTTTTTTTAGCAGCACAAAAATGGACCATAGCATAACGTTCCCATTCTCCTGTTCTTCTCTACTGTTCTTCATGATTCTGTTGACATACAATGAATCCACGGATCTACAAGCTATAACCACTCAATATGTTGCTGCTATGGCTATTTTGAATACGGTGCATTTATCTATATCTTTATATTACCTAAGCTTCCCCCCAAAGAGAATGTAAACACTGCCAGCACAAGAAGTGGAATCGCCATGCCCCCTCTGTAGTGCCAACACCCCAAAAGAGTGTACTCAGAAATGTCTGTTGAATGAGCCGGGGAAAGTTTCTCCAGCACACCAGTTCTCCCCGGGGAACAAAGAGTTAACTGAGCTGAGAGCACAAACTGAAGCCTTGGAGGCTTGCGCACTTCTTAAAAGCTCACTGGCTGGTGGGCGGAAGCTTGCTATCAAATCTGAAGGGCTCTGAACTTTCTTTTAGCCGATTTAGCAGCTTCCTTCTCCAGTGCCTGGAGACCAGTTCTAGAAGAATAAGGTTAGTGTGTGTGTGTGTGTGTGTGTGTGTGTACTCCTCTTGAGCTGAATAGTTACACTAAATCTACAGCTTATAATCGGCAATCATCTTAATTTGTGATTTATTTGATGGCCATTATTTCAAAGCTTGTGTAGGCCAGATAAAAGGCACAAATTTTTCTGCATAGAAGATAAGTGATTGATACGATCCAGGGGTCTTGGTAGGGTTCGCTTTTTCTGCCAATTAAATTATTAAAAGGCAGGAAAAACCTCGACCTCAAGAAGTAGCAGTGACAAGAGATCTCAAACACCCACAGGCAGGAGCAGACAGAATCAGCATTTACTGGGGATGGGGCGACACACACACACACACACACACACACACACACACACACAGCGCACACAGAGTGAAAGACCCTCCACAGGGCTGGGGTCTTAAGTCTCTGAGGAGTTGTTTTTCCTCCCCTAACTTAGGGTTGGTCACCTGGAAGGAAAGGTGTTTTGCAGGCCTGCTACCCTTGTGTAAACATATCCTGATTCCGCTAGGAATTTGCTGAGCTAGTTTTTCTTCAGTGGGCCGGCTAGTAGGAGAAGAAAGCCTCCAAGACCTTGTTTGAAGGGGCCTGGCCTTTGTCTCCAGCCAGGAGGGTGTAGAAGAAGCCAGCCATCTTGAAAGTTCATCTTTATTACTCGTCCTAACTTCTCTCCCTGCTTACCAGGGAGTGTGTGTAACTGAAGAAACTAGCAGATGGACATTCATTTATGGCCTTACAGGCTTGCATTGTCTGTGCACAGCTTTTATATGACTGGGCATGCTAAAACACCCTCGTTCATTATACATCAACTCTAGCTTCAAAAGAAAGTACGTAAGATTTAAGTGAGGTTTTAACTGACTGATTGACATAAGATACAAAGCTGAAAATTTAAAAATATTTATTAGTATTAGTATTTTGAGCAACTATATATTTGTTCCTCCCTAGAAAATTTTCAAATATTTTGTTTTCCTACTTAAAAAGGAGATAGGTGGCAGCCGTAGCGTGCCGTAACGCTTCAATGGTAAACAAAATCTTTCTGCATCTATGTGTCCACTCCATGAGTGTTGGGACGATTCCACTCAAACAATCCAACACTGAAGTTTTCCTTCTTACTTGTGCAGGGAGGGAGGAGCTGTGCTGCGCTTAGAAGATGGGGCTCTTAAAAAAAAAAAAAGCTCTAATTCACTTGTTCTCAGACTTGCCCACCCTAGTCTTTAAATACCACAGGGCAGCTCACTTGGTTTATTCTTGAGTAGCTATGAGGACCTAGGTAGGTAAGTGTCTCTTGCTTAGCTTTATGTTTTTTATCTAAGAAAGTGTGTAAGTAAGCCCTTGGCATTTGGGGAACACAAACCAATCAATCCACTTAATTGATAAAATTAAATGTCTGAGTAAGAAAGATGGGGAGTAGATAACCAAGACCCTCTGTCCCACAGGGGTGCTGTGTGGCTGCAGTAAAAATCCACATAACGTATTGGGAGCTATTTGGAGGAGCTGATTTCAAGCAGGAGCCTATGCTAGCTGGCGACATCCAACACAAAGACCCATGTTCCCGTGTTGGCCCAGTGGTTGGTTTATGGGAAAAGTAGACCAGGGTTATATACTGAGCCCCAGGGCAGGCTGGTTGAATTTTTGTTCTAGACTCAGTTTCCTAAACTTCATCTGGACCAGGTCTCCTCAATTCTTTTCCTTAAAAAAAAAAAAAAAAATGTGTATGTTTTGCCCGCATGCATGTCTGGGCACCTCATGTGTACAGTAGGGTGTCAGATCCCCTGAAACTGGACTTATAGGCTGTTGTGAGCTGCCATGTGGGTTCTGGAAAATGAAACCGATTCCCCTGGAAGAGCAGCCAAGGCTATTAACAGTTGAGCCATTTCTCCAGCCCCATCTCTACCTTCCCTTCCTAAGAGGCACCTAGAAACTGCTTCTGGTGGTCCAAAAGTGCGCTCTGGAGAATGCTGCTCCCTCCTGACAGAAACAAGGTTCCTCTTTTCTCACCTGCAAATGTTGCCATCATCTGAGAGGGAGGAGGGTCAGTTTTCGGTTTGCTATGTTCCGTGATTTGCATGATATCTCCTCTCAGTGTCGTAGCCAATGAAACGAGTTATCAATGAACAGATATGAAGAACACCATTGGTTTTGAATGAATGAGAAGATTGAGGCTCATAGAACTTAAGAACCTAGTTAAAAAGAGAGGTGCAATTTTTCTTTTTCTTTTATTGCTCGATTGTACTAGGGCCTTGTTTATACTCAGTAACCGCTCTAAGCAATGTCTTCATCCATCCTTTTACTTTTGTTTTGACACGGGGTCTCACTAAATTGCTCAAGCTGGTGATGAACTCTCTTTGTAGCCCGGGCAGCCCTAAACTATCCTCCTGCCTGGCTTAGAGCTGAAATTTCAGCTAGTATCTGTGGCTTAACTCGTGCAACTGTAGTAGGAGTAGTGTTCTTCCGTCCGGAAGATTTTGGACTTGCTGCCTTTTCTCTAAGCAGTGACCCAGTTAGCCGAAAGCTGTCACTCAGGGCTACTCTCTGCTCAGCCCAAATGAGCTCTGGAATGAACTGCTGTGCCCGGGCTCCCGTTCTGAAACCTCAGCTCCCAAGGTCATGGCACCAAAAGCCCAATTGGTGAGCTAGCTCTGTTTAACTCGGTACATCCTTGGACAACTCTCGAGGAGTAGGAACCGGAGTTTTTTTGATTTGTTGGTTCTCAAGTCCATTCCTGCCTCTCAGAGTTCTACTCTAAAACAACAGCCTAAGCAAGACCCGAGAAGCAGGCCAGTAAGTAGAAAGTGTTCCTTCCACGCTTCAGAAGTCTCTGCTTCAGCTTCCGCCTTGGCTTCCCTCAACAGACTATGTCCAGGAAAAGTAAAGCAAGTGTTGTCGGTCAGAGTTTTTATCATAGTAACAGAAAGCAAATAACAGCAGGAAGTGACTTAAGACATTCTGTAAGGCTCTGTGCAATTTCTGTAACGCTGTGTTATATGTGTGCTCACCATGTGTGCACGTGTGTGTGTGTGTGTGTGAAACCCAAGACTTTCTGCTTGTGAAGCAACTATTCTATCACTGCACACCCCCCCCAGGCCAACAGTATGGTATTTTGTTTGTTTTTGTTTTAATGACACTATATCTTTCAATATACTTAACCAAAAAAAAAATTTGTGATAATTTTTTTCTTTTGGCAAAAACTTTAATTTCTATGTGTGAGGCTGACCTGATTGATCGTAATGCATTTTAGCAAAATATATTTGGGAACAGCATATCTAGAGAAACTTAGATACACAGAGCAGATGCTAAATAATTTTGCTAAATGACCAGACACTTGGAGACGGGCAGCAGGATTCCCTTGCCTCAGCCTGGGATGTGCCCCACTATGCCCAGGTGCCACTTTTTTCTTTGTGCATGAAGAAGTGATTACTGAGAAAAGTAGCACTTTGCATATTTAAAAATAATTTAATTCAAACCAACTCAAGCAGAACCTGGATGAGAGACACAGGACTGACAATGCCTTGGTTTCTCACCACTGTTCAAATGCTTTGCTCCTTTGTATACCGGTCTGGGCTTGAAGGGGTTTGGGAGTGCTCCTTGTCTTTCTATCACTTTCTTTATTTCTTTCCTTCTTTCTTTCTTTCTTTCTTTCTTTCTTTCTTTCTTTCTTTCTTTCTTTCTTTCTTTCCTTCTTTCTTTCTTTCTTTCTTTCTTTCTTTCTTTCCTTCTTTCTTTCTTTCTTTCTTTCTTTCTTTTTTTAAAGATTTATTTATTTCTTATGTATACATTCTGCCTCCATGTATGCCCGCACACCAGAAGAGGGCGCCAGATCTCATTAAGATGGTTGTGAGCCACCATGTGGTTGCTGGGAATTGAACTCAGAACCTCTCTCTGCAAGAGCAGCCAGTGCTCTTAACCACTGAGCCATCTCTCCAGCCCTATCGCTTTCTTTTTTTAACGAATACAAGAAATGTTAGCTGTAGATCTTCTTTGAACATCTAATGGAATTCCGCGGCGAGTCCCTCTGGGCCCAGCTGTTCTCTAGTTGGAAGATTTTTCATTCCTGCCTCATTCTTCTTACTAAAGGTCTGTAGGTTGGGGACCTCTCTTTGTTACTGCTTCAATTTCCTT